ACGGGGCCCGGGCTCTCTGATGGACGGGCCCCGGAGCCCCGGGTAGACGGGGCCCGGAGCCCCGGGTGGACGGAGCCTGGGCCCTCGTGTGGACGGGGACCAGCCCCCTGTGGATGGGGCCCGGGCCCCCCGGGTGGATGGGGCCCGCTAGGGTGACCCGCTTGCTTCGCAACCCGAATGCGGGATATTTTCGATCGGTGGGCGTTTGGTTGGTCTTGTGTCCGTGGGTCATGTATACATTTCGGTCGGTTGTCTTTTGACGGCTAAGCATTTTGTTTTGGGAAAAAACATCCATCGCATCGAGGTGCTCGTGTCTGATAACCATACGTCTACTATAGAACTTGCCAAGTGTATTTTGTAGCATAGGTTGACGTAGGTCATTGAAAAATGAGAGCCATAAATGAATTGCCATGTAGAGGTTTGAAAAATTTATATTTTTAAGAATACTGTTGCTCGTCTTGCAAAAGCGATGATTGGATCTTGGACAAAATTGAATGCTCTTTCCAACGATGCCATTTTTAATTGTCTAACGTATCAGGTTGTGCAGCAAAACCCGTGTAATTAAGTAAGTCATGAACAAATACCATTTTATTCAGTGATTTGTTCCACATTGTTTTTGATCAATTACCTTTTCACAAATTTTCCTTGAGAGGCGGTAGGTACATTTCTCTTGCCAACAGGCGTTGTTTGAACCCGCTCCGTCTGACAGTCACCCGAAATTAGCATTAATTCCCAAATCCGTCCGAAAGGTCAATTTTTCAAGCATAAGTGCCCTCACGGGTGCACGTGGCGCGTGCCATTCCTGCACCGCTCACCATTCGATAGCCCGTTCGATCCTCATATACGATACTGTGTAGTGATGTCAATTACAGAAAATCGGAATACCGATACCAAACCAAATACCAACCAAAACCATGGGGAAATACCGAAACCAAACCAACTTGGGAACATGAGAGAAATACCAACTTTTTACCGATTTCTTAGCCTCTTATGCATTAGTGAGGATTCATGATACCAACAAAATACCAAACACATTAGGATTGAAATACCAAATACTAAGTTGGTATCGGTTTGGTATCGGTATACCAAAAAGTTGGTATCCGATTGACATCTCTAATACTGTGTTCCCCATGCCGATCGGACCCACGGTTACCGAGATACTGCACGGGGACCGGACCCGTGTCGGGCAAATTTAGCCATTTTCGCCCAATTTTGCAAGCCGATTTATACATGTAAAGTCTATGACGCGACTTCGCACTTTTTGAGCACGCGCCATGTGCTCACCACCGGCCCGATCGAGCTGAGACCCCTCACAGGCACGTTCCCCATCCTTGTTCTATAAGTTGCGCAAAGTTTAGCGCACTATGTAGGTGCAACGGTCTGGCCTGTACCTACCCCGGGATAAGTAACACCATGCCGGAACCACGGTAACAGACAGAATCTACGTCACCACATCACCACACCACAACAAACCTGGCCCAAGGCAATACATGACCCATGTGAGCGCGAACCCTCGGCGGCTCAGGCCATTTTGCGTCCTTCGACGGCACAAGGGAGGGAGGTTACGACCCCTTCCTCGCGTTTGGCCCATGATCGAGCTAGAGCTTCGCGGAAAAAAACGAGCGTGTTGCCCGTGACGAGAGGAAGCCGATAATACCCAATTCCAAGGTCCTAGGTCATTGGTCGACCTTCCAGGTCAGGTCAATGACCCAAATGTCGGGAATATCGGGACCTGTTAGAACTCGTAAAATGTGGCTGCTATAGGGTATTTGTCGGGGTGCTGATCACGAATATTATGTTAGTTTTGATCACAGATGATGTCTTTATGCATTTCGGCCAGGTCGGGTCAGGTCAGGCCATGTCAACCAGTAGGGGTCCTGCCGGGTATTCGTAGTACCTACGTGTCAACCGCCTCTGACAGCTTCGTAACATGTTACGAAGGCACCAAAACTACTTCTGAAATGTTCAAATGGTTGCTAAAATCGAATTCAGCTTAAAAAAAACTAGCCTAGAAACATGCATTACTTGAAAAAGTGTACCGAGGTCATCATAAGTCAATGACCTGACCTGACCTGACCTTCAGGTGACATTGACATCACCCTTATGCATGGGAGCAACATCAAATCACATGTTTGAACAATTGAAACCACGAAAGGACTGCAAACGCGCGGCTAATGCGAGCCGGCATACGCCGAACCGCGATTCTGGCCAAACATGGTCTCGGAAAGTAGGTCAAAGGTCATTTGGGTCAGGGTCATGAAATATCTAGGGTAGGTAGGTAAATCTTGTCCGACAGAAGCAGGCAACAGTTCCGATTGCATATATGCTATGCATATTGCGGAAGGGGCACTTTTCGGCCTCGAAAGATACAAATTCATACGTCATAGTAACATATTTCTGTTGTGGTCAATTTGCGTAAAAATTGAACACCGGGTGATTACCGAGCTATTGCTCTATCCAAATTTTCTGATTCATACTCGCTCAGGGTTATCGTGCAGGTAAAGGGGGCCCGCTCAGCAGATTGTGTATGAAATATGGAGAGATTCTGAAAAATGAGTGGGGGGCCCGCACACTAGGGGGCCCGCTTTGGAGGCGATGACCCCCCCGAAACGAAATCCTGGCTGCGCCACTGCCTCTTTATATCACAAAACTTGCTATTGTGCACATGACTCCTCCGGGCATCCATTTTACACATTGCAACAAAATTTTATTCCAAAGGCTATGATAGGTTGACCACAAATGACGTCAGAATGACGTCAAGTTCTGCCATGTTCATTATGTTCTGTTGATGGATGGAGTGGGAGCGCTTTGCACATGGGTGTGGGCGTATTACCCAGGGTGTGGGGCAAAACGCCCTTTTGTAAGAGTATGCGAAAACCTTTTTGGGGGGTTAGATACACACGCAGGTGTCTTTTCTTGGTCTTAAAACGTAGTAAAAAGAATCAGCTACATGATGGTGCCCAGAGGTTTGAGTAATCTGTGTTGGGTTGAGTGTCAGAAGGTTTCGCGGTTAAGAACGTTTCGGGGGGCGTTTTTGACCTATGTTCGTTCGTTCATTATGAAGACATGCATCCAACTTGTGCAAAACGCATCGTATGACATAGAACATGACTTGACTGACTGTATTGGCTCATAACGTCACCTCGACCTCAGGTTGACCTGGCAATGTCATCACTTTCTTGCTTCGCATTGTCTCAGCGAGAGAAACACAATGCCAATTTTATGTCTCAATTTTTCTTTGTTGAAAGTTAGGTATAGGCATGCCAAAACGATTCCGTGAATGCTTACCAAAGTAGAATGCTTACCAAAGTAGAAAGGAAAGAGGCAAAGGGAGCGGGTTGCTCATGGGATAATTACCTGCCAAATAAGCATATAATAAGCAATAAGTGAAATAAGCATATGTTTCATATAAGTGACATCTTGGAGCGAAACTGTGGAGCGAAACTGTGGACTGACATCTTGGAGTCCACAGTTTCCAATTTCTGTCCACAGAAATTGGAAACTGTGGACAGGAGGTAAGTTTGATGGAAAAAGTCACTGGTGCCTGTACACGGTAAAAAAAAAAACATAGTAACATAGAGTTACATTACAGGTTACAGATAAATGTTTAGTATTGAATCAAATGATTGCACTTAAACGGTTGGTGAGTACCTATCTAATTCAAGAAAACTAAAGAGGTAGGTTTCGGCCCCCAAGTCGTCGCGCGTTAAAAAGGGGATCACGCAAATAGTCCTATCCAAGCAATTCAAAAGCTGACGGTAAGGGTCTCCGGCTTAACGACGTCCGGCTATATATCTCCGGCTTTGAAGTTAAAATCGCCCAATCCCTCTTATTTGCAGCAGCGTAAAGCACGCCTCAATCCAAAATGAAGCATATGCGTGTCTCAGATTAAGTTTGCGTGAGGGCTCATCTCGGGAGGACAGGGTCGACCGCGAGCTCAGAAGCTGATGAAAAGTCCCTGGTGAGCTTGACGCCCTACATATTAGATAACAACCGGTCCTGGTCGATGCTGTATGAAGAGATAGTCCTGCTGCCTGTTCTTTATTTTCATTTTGAAGATACCTAGACTTTCGTTAACCGATGCATGTAGAATGAAGATGAAGCAAATCGGAAAATCTTGCTGTTATGGATAATCAAATAACATGCAGTCAATTAATTTGAAACCAACTTGAACCATATGCCGTGCCCCGTGATAAATTGATAAGCAGTAGCCATTTTCACGACGGGCTGATCTAGCGAATGCACCAAACATGACCAAATCTAAACAAATTTATTTTATATATAATACATGAAGGTATTTACCAAGTAATTATATTCGTATTAATTTGTTTCATTATTGGAAAACAATGTCTGATAATTTGATAAATAAGGTATACAGCTACCTATACCTACAGTTCAACCCACTCTGAAGGTAACTTAGAATCAACTATAAAGATAACTTGACCGAATCGCGCCAAATGTGACCAAATGTGTGCCACTGATAACCGTCGTGATGATGGCTAGTATAAACTGTTGGTAAGCGCCATGACTCCGGTGTGCTTTCGTTAGTCGACGGGTTATCTTCACGAGCTCGCCATGGTGGCGGTTATAGCCGCTTGCTGTGACGTTCACTTTCACGAAGCTGTTTTATAGCCGTGGTTACTGTGGTCGGATGTCACAAGGACAGGCACGCCGTCACGAGGCCAGACACTCTGTCACCGATGTCGGTCGTGAGTGGAAGATCACCGATCCTTCATTCTGTGGATCGTGAGTCGTGAGACGTAATTGTGGGGTGAATGCTGAGCGTAGCTGACCTACTTCGAGCCGTGCATGTGGATCGTGAAGGCAGACACACATAGCAACTTGGTTGTGCACATGGCTTGTGAGATGTGGGAACAGAATATAATACTGCTGCCGCACTATCATGGTGGAATAACGATACAAATGTTCAACTGCGTTAAGTTCAGACTTCAGACTGAATTGTTTCAATGAATATCAATATTCATGCGATTGGAAAGGGATAAATATTTTGTTATTTTATTCGGTAATTCATTCAAGCATGCATTCACCACCGTAAACAGAGATTAAAAAGAAAGTGAAGCAAGATCCGCAAGTCCCTGAATTATCCGCAGTGAACGAATCTCATTTAAGTGTGTCATTTAACAACTGTTATATAATTGGCCTTACTGCACAATGCACATTTACGTGGATATCACATGTTCTTACATTTTAGCTGTGCTGTTTCATCATTATCTGACGACATATGCCGATGTCGACGGCTTTCCCATGAATGAACATTGGACATTACCCGCTTTCCTGTACCATCGGCGTTGTAATCTTTCTGTGGATTTAAATTTCGCAATTTGCTGCTTATTGCATTGTGAACGCACACTTGTGCTACCACTAGGCAGTAAGCAGTCAGCTGGCGGTATTGAAGAAGTCGCGCTTTACAACCGCAACCACTTACAAGGCACACACATTTCGTCACAGCTCTTAACGCATCAAATCTTACATTCATTTCTCTTCAATATGGCACGCTAAAGCTTTACCTTCACAGAACCGCTATAAACACACCTACGGGCTACGTTCCTGCACACTACACACTCACGGTACACAGCGCACACCTGCTCGCACACAGCTCCCTCAGAACACGGACAGATCTGGTGTGGGAATTGCCAGCGTTTCGCAGCTCTGGCGCCCGTTGGAGAAGAACTGCGGCTGGAAGAAGGCCAGCGGCTGGATATGGTCCAGCCCCGGCACGTTGTCACAGTACACCCGCGCCAGCGAGGACCGGCGCAACTCGGCCAACTGCGCAGGTGTGAAGCTGTTCGGCAGGCCGGTGTGCTCGTAGAAAAACCTGCGGAGAGGCGGGAAGGTGGTTGAAGGTGTTTTGATTGGTAGATAGACGGCAGACGCCTATCGCAAGTTTACATAAAATGCGACATTTTAAATTGTGACATACCGTGAAATGTTTTTGGATAAAGTTTGCAATTTAAGCCTAATTATTTTTGTTATTTCGATTGCAGCATCATTAGGTTGGCTATCACCTGAGACTTTTGGTATTATGCGCAAGACTCTGGATGAAGCCATCCCTGTTCGTCAACTTTCCTGGAAAGATGATTAGGTAGCATTGTTCTTATGTAGGCAATCACGAAGAAAGCGAGCTTGACACTCATGTCACGGAGGTGATCCCGTATACTTTCGTCTTCGAACAACTTTTACTGTCATTTCAGGGGATATATCGGAACGAGTCGGATTATTGGGGAATCCCTTCACTGGCAATCCTGCGGTCAAGGTGTCAGCTATTTGCATCAAGTAATTGTAATAAAGCCGCTTAACCGCACAATCTCGCTGTGATCTAAAGCATTACTTCGGATTTGATGTGTCGAAGGCTTTAGTTCTAGAGCTGGGCCTGTTTGAAATGCCGCACGATTCTGCGAGTGGTGGACGTCGAGAGGCGTACCACCGTGGCACGGTTGCAGTGGGTGCTACGCTATTATATTATGAAGTGAAGATTAAAACCCCGTTTACTTTAGCAAGTGTTGTGCAATGTACGGTTCTCCAGTAAAAGTCTTGTTGGTTTTGCTTTTTCGGACATATCTGGTCCTATATAATGTTCAAATGCCTAAGTATCAACCCGAATTATGTGTATGCACATTTACCACGAGACTGTGAAATTGCATCGTTGTATGCCAAATACTTTCCGAGATATTCACCAAAAACCTCATTTTCTGCCGTTTGGGGTATTCTGGCCGCAATCTTCCTGGGATCGCCTATGACATCAGTAGAGCCATCTAACGAGAGGAACACGGAAACAAAGAATCATGAATGAATCGAGCGCGTAGTAAACGGTGTATGAAAGGGAGACTCGGCAGAGGCTATCCGGGTGGCCGGCGCGCAGCGTGCCCTTAGGCACCGGCCGACCCTTCGGACCGCGTGGGGTCAGAGGTCGCGCTCGGGAAGTCTCGGCTCTGGGTTTTAGCGCTGTGCAGTCAGGAAGGGAGGATAGGATAGCGCTAGCCCGACTGACCAGTATCTTGGCTGATTCGTGTGGGGTAGGAGGGGGCACAGAACGGGATGGTGGCTAGTCAGGCTAGTGGTGGATGATGGGATAGCGGTTAGGTTAGTGCGTACTGCGTAGAACGTAGCTGAACATGCATTTTTTTCATGGCAAACAACATGCAGCATAATGTGCGGGATTGTGCCAGAACTCATACAAAAAGAAAATAATATTTCCACCGAGGGAGTGGATGAGTGCCATGACAAAGCATGACGATGCTGCCAAAATCGGGATGCTTTTTTGCCCCCATTTTTTACCCCTAACATGCAGCGCTTGATCCGAACTTGGAGGTCCCCGACTGACCTTAGACCTTAAAATCGCACCCGTCCGGTGCGCCACCTTTTCTTCCGGGGCGTTCTTCTTGGTTGTATCTGTTCTTACCAATAACTGAAGCAAACCGAATGTATAATAAAAAGGGCATACCTCGAACACAGTTTTATTCACACCCGCTCGTGTGCATATTTGTTTTGACCTATACCTTCTCGCATCATAATATCACTTCAGTGCTTAACCCTCAACGGAATTTTGGGTTTTCTGCATATACCCCGGTCGAGGGGGGGGGGGGCGGGCGATTACGACCCCTCTCCGTCTTTTTGCCCCTAATTGAGCTAGCGCCTTGCGGATAAAACTGAGCGCGTGCGTCGTATGAAATGCAGCAACTGGTACCCGAGTTGAATGTCTCAGGTCAACCGATAAACTCTGAGGTCAGTATAAGTGCTCCAAGTCGCGGGATCGGTTTTTGGTAAACAACTTCACCACTTAAGTGGTTACAGAGCCAAGATAATGGCACCATCGAGTTTTGCATGCTCAAGCGCGTCGAATAGTATACGCTTTGTTTTTGTTGAGGTCAATTTAAGGTGTTCACATCAGGTCATGGTCAGGGCAGAGCCACTCAGGCCATGAAGCTGGCCCAAGGAGGTCATATAGCTTCTTCGATTCGGTAGGTCCTCACAAGTCCATTGGTGGCTTTCCGACTCGCTAGCTCAATTTGATAGGGACTTTTTGGTGAAAACTCCTGTGACCTTAGTGACGTCATAAATTAAGTCGCCTTACTTTAAGAATGGAAAAGTGAATGCTCGGGCTTGCAAAGATTGTATAAAATCGCGAATTAATGCGCTTGAGACAGCTTTAGATTACTCCCGGCGCCAAAATAACAGCTTTCATATTTCCCAATTGATTAATAATCGTGAGGTTGCGTGACCGACCTGACTTCAGGTGACTCTTAAGAAAAATACGAGATAGTTACATACAAGTTGTGAGGCCTCTGGGAGATAGTACTAGATCATATAAGCTTCATTCCCCGTTGGGCACTAAGGGTGCTGCGACGTCGCGACATTTTGGGACCTTACAGAGGTTCACTTTTGACGTCATTGGTCAACCGCCTGACCTTAACCTTCGCACTTGTAGGAGGGTGTCGAACAGACCTCCTACCCTCAGTTTTTCGCAAATAACTCGCGCAAAAAGCGGCTGATTGCGACAAAACTTTCAGTACCGTCGAGTTAATCAATATTACGCCTACCCTATAACTTATATGACCCTGACTCAAAAGACCTTAGACTTGTGACCTGTTTTCCGAGACCATGTTTGGCCGGAATCGCGTTTTGGCGTATTTCGAGTAGAGCGCGTTTTATTGTCTTTTTGTGGCTTTAAGCGATCAAACATGTGAAAGGATGTTGATCCCATGGATTCTAGTGGGTATCAAGGTCACGTGAAGTTCAGTCAGGTCACTGACCTTTGATGACCATTGTTCACTTTTGCGAGTTCTAAATGTTTCTAGGGTAGATTTTGGAGTTGATTTCGCATTTAGAAACCGTTTGAGCATTTAAGAAGTAGTTTTGGTTCCTCGTAACATGTGACCTGACCTGACCTGACCCGACCTGGCCTAAATGCACGAAACATCATCTGTGATCAAAACTAACTTGAAATTCGTGATCAGCACCCCGCAAAACCCTATAACAGCTTCACTTTACGAAGCTCTAACAGGTCCAGATTCCCCGACTTTTGAGTTATATTGACCTGTCAACCAATGACCTAGGACCTTAAAATTGGGTATTATCGGCCTCCTCTCGTCACGGGCAACACGCTCTTTTTCCTCGAAGCTCTAGCTCGATCAGGGGCTGAACGGCAAAGGGGTCCAACGGACCCTCCTCCCCCCCCCCCCCCTTACGATAGACGCTGGCAAAACACCAATATGGGCGAGGGTGAAAATACAGCTGCTGTCATACAAATTCAGCTTGAATCAGAGGTCAGGCTTGCCAAATTTCGGCTTTCGCAGCTATCAACAAAAATAAACATGTGGAGGCGGCACCCGCCTTCCTGCAAACTTATTACCCACGCTAGTCTAGTTATCGGCACCATAGCACATGGTCGAGACTGTCGTCAGCCACGGACGCGCACTCGACCAACCTTCTGAGCCCGTTGACTGCGGGTGACCTTGACATGTCAAGCCTGATCAGCCCCCGGCCGCTGTCGTGCGTCGTTACACGCGGAGGGGAGGGAGACACAAAGCTCTACGTTATAGCTGACCTCTGACCTTTCCCTGCGCCCTGGTCACTGACCCCACTCCATGTCGCTGGGCGGTGGCATGGCGGTGGAAACCGGTTCTAGCCTCTACTCATGCCACTATCCTAACCCTCCCCTCCCCACGCTACTACGCGGCGTGGAGTACGCTCGTGCGTAACTGGGCGGAGCAAGGGGTCACGCGATACAGGGGCGGAACTGGTTGCCCTCCCGCTCGCCGAGCGACCAACGACTAATACCCTGGAGAACCGTACATGTCATATGTTGTAAAGTTGCCATGGGCTACGTCAAATTGATTAACGTCTAAGGCCGCGTTCCCACTACCACCGCTCAACATCGTAAATTGCAAGAACGGGAGCAAACGGACGAGATCGTTGATCTAGAGACTTTTCTAAAAAAGTTGAACACTTCCCTAGATCTGGTATACGGGGCAAGATGGGGAAACATCGTGAGACATCGGCAAACGGCTTGGACAAAGCCAGTTGAGAGGAGCGATGATGAAGGAGGGATCGGCACAATAAGCTATTGTAAAAATAATGTTCAGAATATAGGTAGTTGATGTGGTTCGCTCCGTTAGTCGCCCCAAAAGGCGCTATACTGGTGTGGTAAAAGAGCCCGTGCAACTGAATGAATGATAAAATTAGAAAACCTTTTATATTTATTAGCGTGTTAAAAGTACGCGAGCATTAGAAAATATATCAACAAAGCCAGCGAAAAGCATTCACAGCTGTGATAACGACAATCTATTGACTTTTGAAGCGAAAATGTGTGCAGTTGATATAACTCATTGTGGTTTTGCTGTGAATACCTTCGGGAAGCGGTAACCGATAAATTGTAAGTTCCGATGATTTCCTATCAGTTTTTTATGGCAATCCTGGATAAAACATTTAGCAAGTTGAGGCAGGCTGCAATACAACTGAATTTGTCGACACAGGTTCAGCGATTTAGGTATACGAGTACCTACAAGTACCTATACGGAGGAGGCATTCAGCTTACAGCAGTGCCACAGCTCATGTCACCATCGTCATGTGACTACGCCATCTCGTCAGGCGATGCTAGAACTGTATAAAGGCAATTATAATATCAACTGAACAGACCAAGAGCACTATGAGGTTAGCAAGGAAACTGACGCCGTATGCTCAATGAAGACAAGCAAGTGTATTCGAGTACAGTTCACAGCAGATGGTGGCAACTGTCGACGTTTGTCTGACAGCTCTGCAATGTGGCGTGGCATCACAGTGCAACGGTCTTCCAGAGGAGAGCTTGGCCTAAGGGTTTGAGATCCCAGGCCTATCTACCTGAATCTACGATGCAACTCTTGGTAGCTGGCGCGCAACCGGATGGCTTCTTTATCTGTCCCCGAGATTCTGAGTTGCGGAGCGGTGCTACGAAAAGAGGGAGATCAGAAGTGCAGGTCGCACCTGTTCTGACTTAGCGAGGATCATTCGCTCAAGAGTCGCATGCGATGTGCATAACAAGGCCAGACAGCCCAATGACAATCACATGCTTCGCATGTGGTAGTCCCAATCACATGGCGCGATCCAGATGGCCTTGATCCAGAAGACACTGTGATTTGTTTGAGCCTCGAATGAGGCACTCAGTGACGATCCGACGGCGGAAGCTGCGTGTCTTGAACGAGGAGTAGTCGGCCGCTTGAGGTCATAAGTGAGCGACGACGCCGGTGGCCACGATGGTCGGAAACTCTGCCTTTAGTTTCACAAGAGCAAGTGCTGCTACGGCATGTATCGGTCGCTGTCAGATGATGTAAATAAACGTTTGTTATTTGCGCCGCATTTGCGGTGGCATGAAATTATTTGTAGGATGCTTATTTCTAGGCGCTGATGGTAGGTAAAAGAATAAATTGCACTAGACCTACGGTAAATCTGCCAAAAAGTTAAGTTATTCATCGCCACTTAGCGCTCGCCTTATACATCTATGCATATAATTATAGCTATGTAGCTTTTATCCGCAAAAATGCACCACCTTTCATGCCTTGCTGCTTGTCTTCTCACTTTGAATATCAAGAAACTTCCCAAAAATGGCTTCCTGCTCTATGCACTGCCTAAAAATGCTTATTAGTGTCATTTAATATCTGCACAAACCTTCAAGAACGTTCAAAAAGTTGAACACTGTTCAACTTTTTGGCGACCTCACCAACCAACCAACATGGGGAGCTAACTTTCAAAACCCTAAAAATGCCTCCACCCGAAAACACGTGTCAAATACCTGGTTCCCACCACCACCGGCAGAGATCGTAAAAATGCATGCTGTGATTTTGCCGATCTTGCCGGTTTTCTCCCGTTATTTTACTTTACGATGTTGAACGGTCGTAGTGGGAACGCGGCTTAAGTATATCAGCGTGAAAAGAAGAAAAAAAAACATTAAACGAAACTGACGACAAATCCATGCTTGAAAGGATGCAAAAGGTGAGCATTTTCATGACTGAACTTGACGTCAACCTAATGTAACTCAAGCCAGAACATAGCCCCTTTATGCTTGAAATATTCCCGAAAATACACTGACACAACTCCAATGTCATCGGGAGTCTTATGATCCCTCAAACGTATACAGCGACCTACTCCTCACCTGTCCCCGTCGCGCAGGTCGATGAACTGCTGACCGATGAGGCACTGCAGCGTCCTGCCGACCGCAGCGTTACGCGCCCGCCGCTCGCTCACGACTCCGATGAACAGGTCGACGTCCTCGACACTGTCGTAGACGCCGCGCAGCCTGGCTATGGTCTCGGGCTCCATCAGGTCGGCCAGGTCCTCCCAGGAGGCGATGGTGCGCCCTTGGCAGTTCTCCACGGCCGTGATGTACGGCTGCAGGCCGTGCTCACGGCCACGGTTAATGTTCAGAGCCACCAGGTCCAGTCCGGGCATCCCCGGTCGGATGAAGAGCCTCTCCCTCAGCGCGCTGCTGAAGGCGCGGTCCACCCAGCCGGGGCGCTGCGTGGTGAGACTCCGCGCTACCTCCCGCACCAGGCCGAACTGCAGCAGGAAGGAGCTGTTGAAGAAGGTGCGCTCCAGCGCGATCGCCTGAGACTCTAGCTCGAACACGTCGTGCACCATCGAGTGCGCGAAGCGGAAAGCGGCCGTGGAGAACTCGTTGGCAATCACCCCTCGCGCCTCTGGAGAGTAGCCTGGGGAGGAACCCGGCGCGAGCCCGGCCGCCTGCGTGTATCCGTACCCGAGGATCGTCGGGAGCCACTCGTTGAACACAATGTGCTGGTACTCGCCGATGACGATGCGACGCGCCTCCTGGTACAGACGCTCGTCGTCGTAGTCGGGATGTCGCACCGCCAGCGCGGCCGCCACGCGGTTGTGCTCTCTGGTCCAGACCAGGTGCTCGTACGCCAGGCCGATGTTCTCACCGACTCGGTGATCTCCGGAGATAAAACAGTCGTCGGGGTGCGTGGAACAGCGACCCGAGTCGCGGGCGAGGAGGTTTCCTGGCTGCAATGTGCGCATCCGACCGCCCACACGCAGACGCAGTCTCGTGGACTCCTCGTCGCTGCTGCCGTAGATGTTGCTTCCATCCAGGTAGTGCGTGATCTGATTCTGCTGCGCGGCCGGCCTCGGGACGCAGTCCTCGTTTCCTCCGACCAGGGAGCGCACTTGGCTCATGCATCGGACGCCCTGCGGACCGAACACCGGATCGTCCGCCGGCACGCGGATCGGAATGCAGGCCAGCGGGTGCAGGGACATGGCCGGGAACGAGTGGTCGCGGTTGCAGCAGCTGAACCCGCCGCCCTCGCCGGCCTCGTCGATGCTAGTGTTCTCCAGCGCGAACTCGGGCGTCGCCGTCAGGTCGTGGTCGACGAACTGTCCGAACAGCGTCAGACCGATGGTCCGGAACACGTCCAGGCTGTCGGCGGTGTTACTCTCGCCGACCCGCGAGCTGACGAGACGCGGGGAGGGCAGCTCGCGGCCGTTCGCACCCCGGGCCCGCGGCGCGTGCAGGCCATCGGCGTAATCTGACGGAAAGAAGCGCTCGTAGACGGTGTGCGCGCTGCCCTGGCGGGGCCGCTGCTGGTTGTTGCACGTGCCGTCGTGGGTCCGGAAGCGGTCGGTGTTGCCTCCGCAGGACGGTGGCGCGGGCGAGGCGCAGCCGGGGGTATTTGGTCTCACTGCCGCCTGCAGTAGCTCCGCCGGCGGATCGGGCAGGCTGAAACTCTGGTGATTGGCCAGGGGCGGCTGCAGCGCGCGACCCGAGAACACAGCCCCTATGCGGCTGGCCTCCTGCAGCAGGATCGAGTTTTTCTCGCCCTCGCGACCGAGCACCACTGTGGTTTGGAGCACAGGCCGCGAGAACAGCAGCTGGAGCTGCTCGGCACTGTTGGTCAGGGCCACGTTACTGCCCTGGGCGGTCAGCTGCGCAGCCCTCTGCTCTCTGGAGCGCAGCAAAAAGTCAGCCGTGTTCAGCAGCCGCTGAACCTGGGGAGAAGATGGCGACGTACTGGCATCAGAACACGTCAGCGATGTATTAGTAACAAACCGGGATTGTTTACCCTCGCCGGCACAAGCCATTTTGCGTCCTTCGACGGCACAAGGGGGGGGGGGGGTAGTACGACCTCCCCTCGCGTTTGGCCGCTGATCGAGCTAGAGCTCCGCGGAAAAAACGAGCGTGCTGTCTGTGACGAGAGAAAGCCGATGATGCCCAATTTTAAGATCCTAGGTCATCGGTTGACCTTCCAGGTCAGGTCAATGACCCAAAAGTCGGGAAAATCGGGACCTATTAGAACATCGTTAGACGTTAAGTGTGGCTGCTATGAGGTTTTCGGGGTGCTGATCACGAATATCATGTTAGTTTGGATCACAGATGATGTCTTAATGAATTTAGGCCAGGTCGGGTCAGGTCAAGGCAAGTCAAACAGTAGAGGTTCTACCGGGTATTCGTAGTACGTGTCAACCGCCTCTGACAGCTTCGGAACATGTTACGAAGGCACCAAAACTACTTCGTAAATGTTCAAATGGTTGCTAAATTCGAAATCAGCTTAAAAAATAGCCTAGACACATGTAAAACTCGAAAAAGTGGACCGAGGTCATCAAAGGTCAATGACCTGACCTGACCTTCAGGTGCCGTTGACATTCACCCTAATGCATGCATGCATGGGAGCAACAACAAATCACATGTTTGAACGCTTGAAACCACGAAAAGACTGCAAACGCACGGCTAATGCGAGCCGACATACGCCGAATCGCGAATCGCGTCTAACGTCCTTCCCCCCCCCCCCCCCCCCAGCAAGTCGCAAGTTCTATACAAAGTGACTACGCTATCTTGTGTTGACAGTTCCCTGTTTTCCGAAACCAATGACTACAAACTTACCACATCTGGGTAGAGCATTTTGAGGATGACCTCCTCGGGTCGGGTCAGACGCCGCGGGAGGGGTATCTGGCTCCGGAACCGGTTCTGCTGCGGCATCGGGCGGTAGCGGTAGTCGTATCCCCCATGACCCGGGCTGCAAACGAAGGGCGAGATTGTGTAAATCAGCTGGTGTTGCGTGACGTTCACTGTATTAGTGTCAAGCGTGTGCTAAACGGATAAACGAGTTGAACGGGATCAGCCCGGCCTGCAACCGTCGGCCGAATGTGAGCAAAGTGACGAATGGATTTGTCGGAAGGCTTCCAGTAGGTCGCAGACACTTGACAGTTGACACTTGGCGACAGCATCGCACCTCGTGTTGACATGACGTTTTAACGGCTCGCTGATGCACAGCCACTCCAATCCCGTCATTCTCTACAAGGCATTTTCGCATCGCCAGTTATAAGGATCCAGGTTGGTGTTATCTGTACTGTGTAACCTATGCTTAGGATGGATGATGAAAACAGGATAAACAAGTGGTGAAAGGTAAGATGCAAGCACCGTCTTTTGCCACCGAGACGGTCTTCAGTGCAAGCAAGGTACGAAGCTGATGGGCGGTCGCCGGTCATGGACAAGCAAGGTCATCATCATTTGACCTTCCACGACAAATCGCCAAGTGCCCTGCACCCTCATATTTTATTTTTTGCTTATAATTGGTCTCATAGGTTGTGATGGGTGGGGAAGCCAGCTGTGGCAAGGATTTTTTTTCTTCGAACAACGGTTTCCGAGATATAGCCTCTAGCAATTCCTGGAGGTCACGCTGCAACCCTATGTTTGGCGGCTTATAACTCAGAAACTATTGGTTTAACTAGAAACTATTGGAAACTATTGGTTAACAGAAACTATTAAAACTAGAAACCAACCACCGAAACGCATCTGACCGGTTCAAATACTTATGAATTATGTTGAGTTAGGCTATTGTTGATGGCACTGGTGCAGCTTTGCATCAGTGACCTGCTGAAAGGTCATCCGAGGTCACCCGTTGAACACACGACAATAATTTTCCTTTTTTGGCTGTACCTTTTGATCTTATAAAGAAAGAGACGTGGAACAGACACCATTGTGTTTGCTTTGGCCTAACGCAAATTCGCTTTGAATTTCGATATTGATGACCTAAGGTCAGGTCAAATTCTTGACCATCCCATTAGGTATAAGTCAATTGGGGAAAAATCAGCTCACTTATTTTTAAACTAAAACGCGTCGGAATTGCCTAATATACCATGAGTGACTTCACATAGATCAACTTTGACAACCTTGATACTTTTTTTGCTCTTGGGCAACTGTAAGGTCATGTGAGGTCATTAAAGGTCACCAAAGGTTTTTTGCTTATAACTCCTTACACATTTGAGATACAGCTGCGCAGATGGGCTCATTGTGTTCAGCTCGTCAAGGCGCATCGAATGATATACATGATGACCTTAGGTCACGTGACCTTAGGTCAACTTTTGAACTTGACCTTTCGAGGCCAACATACATATGTTTCGATGCGGATCGACGAAGGGAGCACGATGGTGCTATTTGTTTGTTCCTAGCTGGAATACTTTGAAAGTCATTCGAGAAAAACTTCTTATATATGTAGTGCCGCTATTTTGACTTTCTTTTAACCCCTGTGACATCATCTTTGACATGACATGAAAATGAAAATGACCGCAGTAAAAGTTGTAGACCTTATCCGTGTGTACCCTGTACCGTTTACCACTTGTCGCTATCTTGCTTTGTTCTCGAGATCTCGCTGTCGCTTCCGATCGTAATAATGGACAGGTCATAAAAATGACCTGACCTGAGGTCAACGCAGGCCGATAACCACTTTTTTATTATCGCATATGAATGACAATTGGTAAGGCTTTAATCGCCATCAGACAAAATTGCAACTTTCAGTGGGAAAAATATCAAGGTTACTCTTCGAAAAATAGGTCAAAAGGTCACGTGATCAAAAGTTTCAAAAATTGAAAATCCGAGATAGTCAAAATGTTTGTTGGTTGATTGTAAGTTGAACCATTTACAGTTTTTATCAAAGAAAACTAATAGTAATAGTATCTGAGTTATAAGCCGCCAAACATGAGGTTGCAGCGTGACCTCCAGGCTCCAGGAATTGCCCGAGGCTATATCTCGGAAACCGTTGTTCGAAGAAAAAAATCCTTGCCACAGTTGGCTTCCGCACCCATCACAACCCCTTGGTCAGATGGGATGAGGGATAGGTAAAAGGTAACCGATCGACGACATGCTGTTTGCATAATGCAATGGAGCTGTATTATTGAATTCATGACCAAAGAAACACGTTTGATATTTTTACTCGATTATGCTGTACCACCCTGTATGTCATAGTTAATTTACGATATTTGATGTTATTGGATGGCCAAAGAAATATCTCATTCACTCTAAGTCATGTTATATGTGTGTGTATGCATTTATTGCATCTAGATTCATAACTATGCAAGAACAAGTTCCATTTATTGTGATAAAGAGGCGAAGTACTAAAACGAGCGGCATGATTGAATAGGCATGAACCGCGATATAACCGTACCTTGGTGATAGCCGGGGTATTATTCTTTTTGAACTGAGGAAAAAAACGTTTCCAAAAAACATTTATTTATCATTCAATTTAGTTTTCGGCTAATTTTGGACTTTTTAAGATGGTGAGCATACGGTTACTCCTATCTACGGTAAGCGCAGATCCTTTTAAATGATAAAATAATCGTCAGCCTTAAAACCAATAAACTTCCGTAAAGTTTTAAAAACGTCACGCGACTGCATTTGCTAAGTCCCACTGACCGTATCAGAATAGGTAGGTGCTTAAGAAAATTTCCTAGGAATTTCCAGAAGCACATAACATCCATATAATTCGCTTTTTATTCATCCTGTGGTGAGCTGCATCGTGGATGGTACTTCCTGATCTTATTTAAGGTGATGGCATTAACGTAACACGCATTATCTAGACGGAAGGCTTCTAAGTATGACCTTTTTTGTCGCATTGCACTTGAATTTCCAGCACGGTCGCGACATCTGATCAAACGGCCAGCATATGATTAACCTTATATAGTAAGAAAGACCAGTTTTCGCGCAATATTAAAACCGATCACTAATTTAGTTCTGCCATGCAAATTTAGAAGCTCCAGCTATGCGGCTCTCCAAAACACCCTTTGAAGCTTATATGTAGGGAAAATAGACAGACTCCACTCCAATTCAAATAACGGTAACATCCAGGGTAGGATCCATGGGAGCCGGGAGGGGCTTTGAGGGCTAAAACCCCCAGCCGAATAAATATGCCGCTTTGCGAAGCGACGAATCAGGGCGCCGAAACACTATCAATTCACTATTATAACCATCAACAACATCAAAGAACGGGAAAAAGAACGTCGTCTTCAATTTTCACTATAGGCGTCCAAATCGTACATTTTGCCGCCCCTAGTAGGTAAAAAACATACCGCCCCCCCCCCCATGCCATTGACCTCTGGCCGAAGGAAATCCTGGATCCGCCCCTGTGGAGACCTCGGAGTGCAAAAGAAGTGACGTATGCATTGTGCCCAACAAAGGAGGGCACAATTAATCCCTAGCGGGCAGTCAGCAGTAATGCCTGCTCATAAGGAGCCGACTAGCGAGTTCGTATCTACTTAGCTAATAGCATGGATTGAGTGAGAAACTGCCAAATGATTGTATTGCTCCGTTATGCGCCACAACGAATAAGGGGGAAATGACACATCTAGCCCAGCATCCTTGATCAATATTAGTTATTAGCTAAAAACATAGCATGTCTGTAGCTCGGCCACATAAAGCGCCCAAGCAGCGCTCCATTGGCGTAACGTTCGGAGCGTCCGTAAAATTGCCTTATGTGGGTAAGACTAAAAATATAAGATGTGAGATACCCGTATAGTGGGTGCTGGGGGTGACGTCATTCGACCGGTAAGTGTTGCCACTGGTATCGTACCGGTGTCACCGGGGACCACAGAGGTCGCCCGTCCCGTACCTGCGGTCGATGACGTCAGTGGGGCAGAGGACACCGTTGGAGCCGTCGGCCAGGGGGCAGGCGGCCCGGGTGCCCACCAGGTGAGAGGCTGGGTCCCTGAGGATGGCCGGACACAGCACCAGCGGGGTGCACTGCTGACCGGCGGCGGTACCGCTGAACAGCAGAACGGCCCAGACCAGCGGACAGCGGAGAACCTGCGGCAGGGGGGATGGTCACCGGTGAGGAGCAGCACGGCCCAGACCACCGCAACACAGGAGGATCTGCAGACGGAGGGGGGGGGGGGGTCACCGCCGAGCAGTAGCACCGTCCAGACCGGCGCACACAGGAGAATCTGCAGACGGGGGGGGGGGGGGAGGGAGGACCGTGAGCCTGTCAGTCAATGCGTTTATTTTACAGTCATTGATTGTAAGTCAATGCGTTTAGACGGGTATGAGAGGTATGAAACACTCCTACCCATTCGTCAAAAATTGCCAGTGCACCATGGTCCATGGCAGAAGACATCGAATTTACCTACTTCGTGCCTTGTTGATGGTCATGCTGCTTACCGCGGCTTCTTTATTATTCGCTATTATTATTCGCATTTACCTATCACGTTTTGTGACACTATACGAATACTGTAATGGGTAGCGGGCTATATAGTAAAAATATTGCCCGATGTAACGTTGCTGTAGCCCGAGTGTCAATAGTCAATACCCAAAATAATGCTTGATGAGGTCTTGGCCCGAGCGTTACAGGGGCGTCACAGAGGTCTATACTTTTTACTTTTGCCCGCTACCCCATACATCATTCATTTTATTATACCTATGGCCCATCCCAACTCGCTAATAAATGTCCATAGGCGGCGGAACGGGGAGGGCACCGGGACACCGTGCCCCCTTTGATTTTGGCATTTTAACATTAGCCCTATGGGCGTTGCATGGAAAGAATGGGACCAAAAGTCGGCAGTGCCTTAACCCTCGCATGTGTGCGGCGTTTGCCAGCTTCTAATGTGTAGGGGGGGGGGGGGTCGGTTGGACCCCCCCTTGCCGTTTGGCCCCTGATCGAGCTAGAGCTTCGCGGAAAAAACGAGCGTGTTGCCCGTGACGAGAGGAAGCCGATGATACCCAATTTTAAGGTCCTAGGTCATTGGTTGACCTTCCAGGTCAGGTCAATGACCCAAAGTCGGGAAAATCGGGACCTATTAGGAAGTCGTAAAGTGTGGCTGCTAAGGGGTTTTTCGGGGTGCTGATCACGAATATCGTGTTAGTTTTGATCACAGATGATGTCTTTAAGCATTTAGACCAGGTCGGGTCAGGTCAGGTCAGGTCAACCAGTAGGGGTTGTGACTAGAGATTGCAATCCCGGGATCGGGATCCCGGGATCCCGGCAGGATTTTAATCCCGATCCCGATCCCGAAAATCCGCCAATCTCGGGATCCCGAAAAGAATCAGTTTTTCACCTTAAAAAGAATGCAGCCGCTGCACGAGTCTTGTTTGCACTGTTTATGGTGCTGCGTGACATTAAGCAGATAAACTACTTAGCTGGAACCCCGTATTTGCCGTCCACAATCGACCGTGTTGGTAGCTCTCGGGTATCACCCACAGCGGTTAAGCCGCTTAAATACGTACGAAAAAGGGTCCCGAACGCCAAAAAAAAATTGCAGCATCAGCGCTGCAACATCTTTATCAGGATCACAGATCGTTCAGCGATTCTGACTTGCCCGTCCGTGGCCGGAACAAAGGAGGTCATCAAGACAGTCTTTGAGCTCGTCTCGCAGAAAGATGTCACAGATGTCACGCAAGTGACGGCAGAGCTCACTGATTCAGACGTTGAAGACTGTAGAGTGGAGCTCTCCCAGTCAGTGACTCTGCTATCAAAGCGACTTTCGAGCAAATTCTGAGAGACATTAATGATGAAAGCGGAACCGGAAGGAGGTAAAGTGACCAAGCGACGTTTTGAAAACATTGTGAAATAGGGAGCTGCCAAATTTGGCGTACACTGGTTGCGAGTTTTTAATACCAGCATGGCAATGGCTTGAAACTGTCGCGTTAACTACCAGTAGCGTAGACGAAGAGTGAGTAAGGCGTGGATGTGCTGGAACCCGTCTAGTAAACGTACCGGTCGACGCACAGTTTTATGAAGGCCAATTGGGAATAAATGCTAATGCTAATCAAATTGAAACGTTTTATTCGCAAATTGAATCGTTTTTTTTATGCAAATGACATGGTCTAAGGATGGCTTTTGGTTGCCTCTTTGTTTGTGGTAAGCTAAAAGACGCAAAATATGTCAGTAGGAAATCACTCTTACGACATTTAGTGACAAGACCGGGATCCCGGGATCCCGGGATCCCGAAATAAAAACTTTCGGGATCCCGGGATTGGCAAAACGTTCCGGGATTGCAATCTCTAGTTGTGACAGGTATTCGTAGTACGTGTTAACCGCCTCTGACAGATTCGTAACATGTTACGAAGGCACCAAAACTACTTCGTAAATGTTCAAATGGTTGCTAAATTCGAATTCAGCTCCAAAAACTAGCCTAGAAACATGTAAAACTCGAAAAAGTGAACCGAGGTCACCCGAGGGCACCAAAGGTCAATGACCTGACCTGACCTTCAGGTGACCTTGACACCCACCCTAATGCATGGGAGCAACATCAAATCACATGTTTGAACGTTTGAAACCACGAAAAGCTTGCAAACGCGCGGCTAATGCGAGCCGACATACGCGGAATCGCGATTCCGGCCAAACATGGTCTCGGAAGGGAGGTCACAGGTCAAAGGTCATTTGGGTCAGGGTCTTGAAATGTTCAGGGTAGGTGTAAAATTGATCAATACGAGGGTACTGAAAGTTTCGTCGCGATCGGCCGCTTTTTACGCGAGTTATTCGCGAAAAACCATGGGGGGGGGTCCATCCGACCCCCCTACACATGCGAGGGTTAATTCAGTGTGTTCCGCCGCTATCTGTAAATGTCGCTTACTAAGTCGCCGCTCAGTATAATATTACGAAAGGATTAAAACACGCGGGGTCCAATATTGCCTCCGCTGTCATAGAAGTGTCATTAACAAAAATATGTTATCATTCAGAAGGAAATTTAAGGTGAAAATTACGGTCAACAGTTAAAATTATCACAGACCCAATTAGCACACGAGTCATTTAATAATTTTGTCATGAAACTTTTGCCACCTTGTCCCTAAAATCTCGTCGCTATTAAAACAATAAAAATTCGTTTTATTTTTTTTTTTTTACAAAAACAATTTTTTCTCATAGTTATTCAAGTTTTAAGTATATTTATTTTTATTTTTAGGTTTCGTTCATGTGAATACTTGTTATTAAGTTATTGTTATCTCTAACCGGAAAATATGGTATCATTATAATTATTAACCGGATATTATTGTAATTATTTTAAGTGCATGAAATGCAACAGCAATTGTTCTGAGCACTTACCCGTGTCTCCATTTTTCTTCTTATAATTCCCAGCTGTTCCAGCCGGGGATATCGGCAGATGAGCACACCACCGCCGGAGATGACTGCCCAGCGGACGGGCCACGAGCAGACTGCACCGTTGACCGAATCCCCGCACCCTTCTCTTATACGGTCGGCTGACTCCCGACTGGTTCGAGGCTCGCCCGAGCTGAGACACTTCCTCAGATCATGCTAATGCCTCTTGCTTAGATGGCCGCCTGAAACTCCAAAGCTGCTGCTCCACATTAAAATATAAAATACGGACCGTGAATCGATATTACAGTTGTATGTATGTAGAGTCTAGAGAATAAAGTAAAAAGTATCATAAAGTTCGTTAAAGTTATCCCTCGCCCCTACTGGTGTTTTGCCAGCGCCTCGGCCGTTTAGGGGATGGGGGATTGATCCGTTGGACCATATTGCCGTTCAGCTCCTGGTCGCGAGCTAGAGCTTCGCAGAAAAGAACGAGCGTGCTGCCCTTGACGAGAACAAGCCGATGATACCCAATTTTAAGGTCCTAGATCCGCATCCCGTTGACCTCCCCTGTTGTAACAGGTCCCCTGTTGGGACCTGTTACAAGCTCACACTGTCCCCTGTTGGGACCTGTTACAACGTAGTACGGATGTAACGTCGTCGTCAACGTCGTGCAACGTGCAACGTCGTGTGGATGCTACGGGATTTTCATGTGCGTGAAGTTGGCGTCGGATTCGGATTCGTATTCAGCGTCGAGTACCGAATCACTTGAAAACGTCATATCTGGTCAATTCGGGGACGGGGAGCACGAATATGACATTAATTTTGCCCTAGCAGGTATCCCTTATCCCTTAATCGTCCCTTAAACGACGGGGCGCGCCAAAAGTGCCTCAGGGGTTCTTCCGATCGCGAAAAGAATGGTCCCAGGCGATTCCCCGGGTCGATATCTAGCCGCACCACCACTAACTTCACACGTGCCTCATATCCCTTATCCCTTAATCGTCCCTTAAATGACGGGGCGCGCCAAAAGTGCCTCAAGGGTTCTTCCGATCGCGAAAAGAATGGTCCCAGGCGATTCCCCGGGTCGATATCTAGCCGCACCACCACTAACTTCACACGTGCCTCATATCCCTTATCCCTTAATCGTCCCTTAAATGACGGGGCGCGCCAAAAGTGCCTCAGGGGTTCTTCCGATCGCGAAAAGAATGGTCCCAGGCGATTCCCCGGGTCGATATCTAGCCGCACCACCACTAACTTCACACGTGCCTCATATCCCTTATCCCTTAATCGTCCCTTAAATGACGGGGCGCGCCAAAAGTGCCTCAGGGGTTCTTCTGATCGCGAAAATAATGGTCCCAGGCGATTCCCCGGGTCGATATCTAGCCGCACCACCACTAACTTCACACGTGCCTCATATCCCTTATCCCTTAATCGTCCCTTAAATGACGGGGCGCGCCAAAAGTGCCTCAGGGGTTCTTCCGATCGCGAAAAGAATGGTCCCAGGCGATTCCCCGGGTCGATATCTAGCCGCACCACCACTAACTTCACACGTGCCTCATATCCCTTATCCCTTAATCGTCCCTTAAATGACGGGGCGCGCCAAAAGTGCCTCAAGGGTTCTTCCGATCGCGAAAAGAATGGTCCCAGGCGATTCCCCGGGTCGATATCTAGCCGCACCACCACTAACTTCACACGTGCCTCATATCCCTTATCCCTTAATCGTCCCTTAAGGGACGATTAAGGGCAATCGGGGCGCGCCAAAAGTGCCTCAGGGGTTCTTCCGATCGCGAAAAGAATGGTCCCAGGCGATTCCCCGGGTCGATATCTAGCCGCACCACCACTAACTTCACACGTGCCTCATATCCCTTATCCCTTAATCGTCCCTTAAATGACGGGGCGCGCCAAAAGTGCCTCAAGGGTTCTTCCGATCGCGAAAAGAATGGTCCCAGGCGATTCCCCGGGTCGATATCTAGCCGCACCACCACTAACTTCACACGTGCCTCATATCCCTTATCCCTTAATCGTCCCTTAAGGGACGATTAAGGGCAATCGGGGCGCGCCAAAAGTGCCTCAGGGGTTCTTCCGATCGCGAAAAGAATGGTCCCAGGCGATTCCCCGGGTCGATATCTAGCCGCACCACCACTAACTTCACACGTGCCTCATATCCCTTATCCCTTAATCGTCCCTTAAATGACGGGGCGCGCCAAAAGTGCCTCAGGGGTTCTTCCGATCGCGAAAATAATGGTCCCAGGCGATTCCCCGGGTCGATATCTAGCCGCACCACCACTAACTTCACACGTGCCTCATATCCCTTATCCCTTAATCGTCCCTTAAATGACGGGGCGCGCCAAAAGTGCCTCAGGGGCTCTTCCGATCGCGAAAAGAATGGTCCCAGGCGATTCCCCGGGTCGATATCTAGCCGCACCACCACTAACTTCACACGTGCCTCATATCCCTTATCCCTTAATCGTCCCTTAAATGACGGGGCGCGCCAAAAGTGCCTCAAGGGTTCTTCCGATCGCGAAAAGAATGGTCCCAGGCGATTCCCCGGGTCGATATCTAGCCGCACCACCACTAACTTCACACGTGCCTCATATCCCTTATCCCTTAATCGTCCCTTAAATGACGGGGCGCGCCAAAAGTGCCTCAGGGGTTCTTCCGATCGCGAAAATAATGGTCCCAGGCGATTCCCCGGGTCGATATCTAGCCGCACCACCACTAACTTCACACGTGCCTCATATCCCTTATCCCTTAATCGTCCCTTAAATGACGGGGCGCGCCAAAAGTGCCTCAGGGGCTCTTCCGATCGCGAAAATAATGGTCCCAGGCGATTCCCCGGGTCGATATCTTGCCGCACCACCACTAACTTCACACGTGCCTCATATCCCTTATCCCTTAATCGTCCCTTAAATGACGGGGCGCGCCAAAAGTGCCTCAGGGGTTCTTCCGATCGCGAAAAGAATGGTCCCAGGCGATTCCCCGGGTCGATATCTAGCCGCACCACCACTAACTTCACACGTGCCTCATATCCCTTATCCCTTAATCGTCCCTTAAATGACGGGGCGCGCCAAAAGTGCCTCAGGGGCTCTTCCGATCGCGAAAAGAATGGTCCCAGGCGATTCCCCGGGTCGATATCTAGCCGCACCACCACTAACTTCACACGTGCCTCATATCCCTTATCCCTTAATCGTCCCTTAAATGACGGGGCGCGCCAAAAGTGCCTCAGGGGTTCTTCTGATCGCGAAAATAATGGTCCCAGGCGATTCCCCGGGTCGATATCTAGCCGCACCACCACTAACTTCACACGTGCCTCATATCCCTCATCCCTTAATCGTCCCTTAAATGACGGGGCGCGCAAAAAGTGCCTCAGGGGTTCTTCTGATCGCGAAAATAATGGTCCCAGGCGATTCCCCGGGTCGATATCTAGCCGCACCACCACTAACTTCACACGTGCCTCATATCCCTCATCCCTTAATCGTCCCTTAAATGACGGGGCGCGCAAAAAGTGCCTCAGGGGTTCTTCTGATCGCGAAAATAATGGTCCCAGGCGATTCCCCGGGTCGATATCTAGCCGCACCACCACTAACTTCACACGTGCCTCATATCCCTTATCCCTTAATCGTCCCTTAAACGACGGGGCGCGCCAAAAGTGCCTCAGGGGCTCTTCCGATCACGAAAATAATGGTCCCAGGCGATTCCCCGGGTCGATATCTAGCCGCACCACCACTAACTAAGATATCGACCCGGGGAATCGCCTGGGACCATTCTTTTCGCGATCGGAAGAACCCCTGAGGCACTTTTGGCGCGCCCCGTCGTTTAAGGGACGATTAAGGGATGAGGGATGTGAGGCACGTGTGAAGTTAGTGGTGGTGCGGCAAGATATCGACCCGGGGAATCGCCTGGGACCATTATTTTCGCGATCGGAAGAGCCCCTGAGGCACTTTTGGCGCGCCCCGTCATTTAAGGGACGATTAAGGGATAAGGGATATGAGGCACGTGTGAAGTTAGTGGTGGTGCGGCTAGATATCGACCCGGGGAATCGCCTGGGACCATTATTTTCGCGATCGGAAGAGCCCCTGAGGCACTTTTGGCGCGCCCCGTCATTTAAGGGACGATTAAGGGATAAGGGATATGAGGCACGTGTGAAGTTAGTGGTGGTGCGGCTAGATATCGACCCGGGGAATCGCCTGGGACCATTCTTTTCGCGATCGGAAGAACCCCTGAGGCACTTTTGGCGCGCCCCGTCATTTAAGGGACGATTAAGGGATAAGGGATATGAGGCACGTGTGAAGTTAGTGGTGGTGCGGCTAGATATCGACCCGGGGAATCGCCTGGGACCATTATTTTCGCGATCGGAAGAACCCCTGAGGCACTTTTGGCGCGCCCCGTCATTTAAGGGACGATTAAGGGATAAGGGATATGAGGCACGTGTGAAGTTAGTGGTGGTGCGGCTAGATATCGACCCGGGGAATCGCCTGGGACCATTATTTTCGCGATCGGAAGAACCCCTGAGGCACTTTTGGCGCGCCCCGTCATTTAAGGGACGATTAAGGGATAAGGGATATGAGGCACGTGTGAAGTTAGTGGTGGTGCGGCAAGATATCGACCCGGGGAATCGCCTGGGACCATTATTTTCGCGATCGGAAGAGCCCCTGAGGCACTTTTGGCGCGCCCCGTCATTTAAGGGACGATTAAGGGATAAGGGATATGAGGCACGTGTGAAGTTAGTGGTGGTGCGGCTAGATATCGACCCGGGGAATCGCCTGGGACCATTATTTTCGCGATCGGAAGAGCCCCTGAGGCACTTTTGGCGCGCCCCGTCATTTAAGGGACGATTAAGGGATAAGGGATATGAGGCACGTGTGAAGTTAGTGGTGGTGCGGCTAGATATCGACCCGGGGAATCGCCTGGGACCATTCTTTTCGCGATCGGAAGAACCCCTGAGGCACTTTTGGCGCGCCCCGATTGCCCTTAATCGTCCCTTAAGGGACGATTAAGGGATAAGGGATATGAGGCACGTGTGAAGTTAGTGGTGGTGCGGCTAGATATCGACCCGGGGAATCGCCTGGGACCATTCTTTTCGCGATCGGAAGAACCCTTGAGGCACTTTTGGCGCGCCCCGTCATTTAAGGGACGATTAAGGGATAAGGGATATGAGGCACGTGTGAAGTTAGTGGTGGTGCGGCTAGATATCGACCCGGGGAATCGCCTGGGACCATTCTTTTCGCGATCGGAAGAACCCCTGAGGCACTTTTGGCGCGCCCCGTCATTTAAGGGACGATTAAGGGATAAGGGATATGAGGCACGTGTGAAGTTAGTGGTGGTGCGGCTAGATATCGACCCGGGGAATCGCCTGGGACCATTATTTTCGCGATCAGAAGAACCCCTGAGGCACTTTTGGCGCGCCCAGTCATTTAAGGGACGATTAAGGGATAAGGGATATGAGGCACGTGTGAAGTTAGTGGTGGTGCGGCTAGATATCGACCCGGGGAATCGCCTGGGACCATTCTTTTCGCGATCGGAAGAACCCCTGAGGCACTTTTGGCGCGCCCCGTCATTTAAGGGACGATTAAGGGATAAGGGATATGAGGCACGTGTGAAGTTAGTGGTGGTGCGGCTAGATATCGACCCGGGGAATCGCCTGGGACCATTCTTTTCGCGATCG